GGGGCAGCTGCAGCCCTAACGGACCAAACTTCATTCAAACAAGACCCAACACTTTTATTCCTGATTTAAACTAGTGATCTTGAGAGCAGATGCAGCTGTAGGCTTTTATTTTTTATGTCAGGCTGTCGGAGCGCTCCACCTCCTCTGTCCTGTGAGGCGGACAGCTCAGCCGAAGCTGTCACGTTCTCTCGTCCTGGCCACACCTCCGCTCTCTAACGCCCCCTCCCCTACTCACACCCCCTCCCCTACCCACTTTGATGCATTTTTCAAATTTCGCCTTGGGGCGGAGTTATCTTTTCACAGGGGGGGTAAGATACACTTTGAATAACTTAAATGTCCACAAAACACGTTTGAAAAGGCAAACTACTATGACCTCCTTAATGACTTTGTGAGGGGGAAGATCTGGTCCAACTTGGTCTAACTGTCAACGGGTGTTGTCCCATTCATCCATGTAACACTAAAGAGATGTGTCAGCCATGACAGCCTCACAACATTCCACACAGTAGACAGGTGTGGGCCTGATCTGGTGTCAAGCTGGCACCGATAGCTGACTGTTGGCATGGCAAGTGGTTTGTCAACCAGATGTGGGCCAGGTCTGGCAATGACGGCACTGTATAAATGATGGTGTGCCACAACTGGCCCAGTTGCAATTTGCTTTACACAGCCCTAATCTGTCACAACTGGCCTGGTTGTGGCTCATGCATGGACCACCACAAATTTGGATATGTGGGATCCAGAGACTTCAGCATCTTGGGGCGAACCTTGTTCACCCCTGGCGCTCTGGCACCAATGAGCTTTTTGATCACYTTGCCATGGTAATAAACTCTGCCTCCTCAAAAGTGCACGTGGTGGAAGGAGATCCTTGAAGTGCCTCAACAGCATTCTCAGTCCAGATCAGGAGTTCATCACCCAAACCAAGCACAGACTGCGAAAGGGCCTGCTTTCCTTTTCTGATCTGCTGAATAGTTTGCCTCCTCAAGGCTCCTCAAGGCCAACCGAAAGTCCCTCTCCATGGCCTCCCTGAATTCTTCCCATGCTCAAGTTTTGCATCCAAACCACCGAACCCAAAGGTCTTCTGGCCGCCTTGTACTTGTCAGCTGCTTCAGGAGTACTCCTGGACAGCAAAGCCCTGAAGGCTTCCCTCTTCATCTTGGCAGCTTCCATCCCCGCTGCTGTCTACCTGTAGGTCCTTATGACCAACGTTAAATCTTGAGGAATCTCGTGAGATTCTACACAATGTGTTTTTCGTCATTTCAGAATAATTTACTCCATCGCCAAATAAAAGTTATTGTGGCCCAGATAAAGAAAAAACAGCCCACAATCATGACACCACAACCACCATATTTGACAGAGATAAAGTTGGGTTCTTTCCTTTCCCCCCAAACCTTTCAGTTAAACCAGTTTAGTCCTACTGCATGATCCACATTTCTGCTGAGCCACTTTTGTTAGCACTGAATTGATTATAAAGAAATGAGTGTTACTTTTAAACTTCACTAGTTTTAGTTATTGTGGCCCAAAATCCGGCCAAATCATGATACAACTGAAGGGAATTTGTGATCAATAGAGTCTGAATAATATATCAGAAAACCAGTTGAATCTCTTCTAAAACCTTCGTTCCAGTCGACTCCAACCAGCTCCAGCAGCACACACAGTCAGGCTTCAATCAGCCAGAACATAAACTAATAAACTCTCAGCGTCTGTCCCAGGCTGAATCTGCACACAATAACTTACAAAACCCTCTGCCCAATAATAATATGATGATGATTCAACCTGATCAGAAAGTGTGAAAATACAATACTGGATCAAACATTCAGTCAATCAGTCACAAAATTTCCTTCACAACTATCACTGTATATGACAAAGAGAGTTTCTGAGGTTTTCTTTTTTCAAAGCCACTATTTTTATGTCCCTCAGCTATTACTCTTGTTAATTTTATGTAAAAAAAAAATAATACAGGAAATTAGCTCTTTTGGGCACCATTGGGGTTCAGTGTTTTGGATGTTTTGAACAATTAAATATTTTTCATATTACTAAGTAAGAAGACTATCTTTAAATATAGCCAGTTTATCAAGACAAAGATACATCATCTGATCAGAAACACATGAATTCAGTGTGTATTTTTAAATACTATTAGCAGCTGCTGTCTTGTTTCAAACAGTTTACACAGTGATGATGCATCATTTTTGTAAAAAACAATTTTTTCTTTGGTAAAAATCCAGTAACTGTAGTCCCTTTTCCACTGTGTGTGTGTTTTGTATACAGTATGCTGTGTTTACAGATCAATGCTGTGTGTCTTCACTTAGATTACTTTGATAGAGTTGGAACAGGAACACAGGGAGATTAATCAAAGTGAAGGGGCACCGACTCCCGGCCCGTGCCAGTCGATACGGCCGCGTGGTTAATTCGCCCCGAGGAGGCCTGTCGTCAGGCAGATGATAAACAGTGTTTGCCCCGTTTTTTTGCCACGAGCGCGCTCCTGCTCGCCAAGAAAAATTGTTTCGACCCGTGGTCTCTAATTCACAGTGGGGGGTGAGAGGTTGGACATTAATCATCCTTCTGCCGTGGCCCTTCTCTGACAGGCGCCACCATCCAAAGGGTGGATGGGGTGGAGACGTTCTGTTGCAGGTAAACCCCTTCAACGAATGCTTTTATCCCTTTGACCTTGGAAGTATGCAAACACAAATTGGTAATGAGAAACAAACAGGCTCTGAAGGTGTATTTTTATACCTGTGCTTCACATGAGGCATTAGAGAAATGGCTTGCATCCAACGGAACCCCATACGGACG